CAAAGGCACCCAGAACAACCACGCAAGGGTGGAGAACATAGCTTGCTACCCCCACCCAAATTACACTTACCAAGGCTGGGCAGCTTTCCTTTGCCATTCTGAAATCTGAAGGGGGATAAGAATTGCAAATCCAGAGAACAGCACTCTCCCTCTCTCTCCCCAAATAGCTTTATAATATTACTATGCATTTTAAAGAAATCACTGAAATCTTATCTCATTAAAAGCCAGAAAAACCCTTAATTTTACAACTCTAAACACACTGCCTTGATATCAGATATACTGGTGGCAGAGGTAGAAAGACAGCAATTCAAACTCTTAGGAATCCGACCAAACCTGAACCCAAATTCTTCTCAGCCCCTTCCCTCTATCAATCCCTACCATCTTGGGCGGCATGCTTGGTAGCTCCCTGCTTTTTTGATTCCATTACTCATTATCTAACTTATTCTGTTATCCCAACTTGGCCAGTGTTGGGACTGTGTGGGACAGCGACCCTAACCCAAATTAAACTCAGAGACTTCTCAAGGTGGAAAGCAAAGGTTACCTTTATTACAATCTCGCAAGATGGCTGTCTGCTCCTTCCATACATGTGGAGAGAGAGAGACTGCATAACAGGGGCCCCTTATAAAAGCAAATCTCTGCCCACCATGCAAAGTCTTCACCCACTATGCAAACAAGTTTCCACCCACCACTATCCCTTACCCCCTTAACTGGGGATGGGCTTACATTCTAAGCTCTAAAGCTTCTTCCTATCCCCTTAACTGGGAGGTGGGGCTTATATTCCAGGCCCAAAATTCAAAGACAGGGAAAGAGGTGGGAAGCCAAGGGCAAATGGCTCAGGTTGGGGGTGGGGCAGGGCTTATTCTTTCTGTTAAGTGCTTAAAAACAGGGTCTGAGTGGGGGAGGATTTTGAAAATAATAATCACAAATTATTGACCTTTTGAGGAGGCTTCATCTCTGAGAGTTCATCTCTCACAGGACCACCCCCAAAAAAATCTTATTAATCTCCCACTGAAAGTCTAAAGTGGGAGTTCTTTTCCACTGTTTCTTCTCTAATTTCAGACTTAAAATTTTTCTGGCAGACATAAAACATTTACATAAAGACAGACAGAAAACGTGTGCACGATTCTAATTCTAATCTTGACTGGTCTTTCCTTCCAGCAAGAAGCAGAGTCTGATTCCCCCAGGCTAACAGCTCTCCTTCCCCTTCCTCAATGCCTTTTCCTTTGAGCTCCTTCCTCCCATTTCTAGACCATTCCTCTAAAAGCCCCATCTGGGCTAGCCTCAACAGTTGTCAGAAATGAGGATTCTGTGGACCACCAAGGCAGGTACTCTAGCCACAAATTTTTCCCTGCTTTGATCAACAGGTCTACTTTACATGGTCTACAGCCAGTTCTTCCCTTTTTCCTTAAATCTGTTCAAACACTCCATTTGGCAAATATCCAGTCTCAGGTCTCATATGCAGCCTGGGTGAGCCAGAGAGAAAAGCAGAGGACCACCAAAAATTGGTGGGAGCCCTCTTCCTCCATTTACCCCTCAAATAACCACTCCGGGGGCCTTAAGAATATTCTGGACAATTTGCCACGTTTGTCATAAAAACCCCAGACTTAATTCAGAATTTCAGCCTGAGACTGGGCTCGGCGAATTTCCAAACAAGAGTTAGCTGGGTAATAATGAAATCACAGTTGTGGAGTGAGAGAAGAGATGCCTTTTTCATCAGTTCTCATGAGAATTAGGTGTGTATGTGCCCTCAAGGGAACCACACACTTATACAGGAGCACAGCAAGCGGTTTTATAGGATTACTTGGCTTTAACTAAAGCCCAACTTGTCCCAACATTCCTGCATGTCCCAAGTAATATCTGTGTTTGCAATGCAATATCTATTGTTTCTATAGAGCCTGTGAAAACCAATCTCTCACTCATCTTGTTTACATGTTTGTGTAAAGCAGTAAACCAATAAACCAATCTCCCTCATTTCTCACACTGTTTAATTAATTATTGGAACTCTAGAGGCTTTCTGCTGGGGGGGGGGCGGCGGGGAGACAGGGACTGACTACTCCAGGTTAATGTTGATTCAAATTGCTGAAGCCTGAGATTCCCAGAAGTGCAGTTTTTTATCTGATAAACTTCTAAAAGGAGAATGGATTTTTTTGCTCTTTTAAAGAAGTAGGAAAGAAACGGGGAGAAAATTATTCAGGGTAGTAATTGTCACCACGTGTCTTTTTAAAGGAATATATGAATTTGTGGAGAATATTTCCTTTTAAAGGGCTGAGACTTTGGATTTAAAGCAAAAATGTTTTTAAATGTTTATCATTAATGATCACAAATTCAGGTCTGATTTGATTTAAGTTTACTGTTCTGTAAAGGGAAAAAAAACAGTTGTTTTGGGATAGAAAATGATATGACTGTAAAGTGCTTAATACAATGGCATATGTTAGACATAGCATTATTATTATTTCTCTAATTTAATGTAATTGTTAAAAGTACCAAGAGTAATAAGATCAATAATCCTGTATATGTGATAATCTGGAAATGCAATTGATGTTATCTGAAGTTTATTGTTTGTGTTATTACTCTATTTCTAAATTGTATTGTATTTCTAAAACTCTTAGATTATAATATTTGAGGGACCACTGTGAGGTAGAAATGGTGCTAAAGCAGTTCTTAATCGGGAATGGATCTTTTGAAAGGATATCATACAAATGAGATACTTTGAAAACTTGGTTATATTTGGTTATAAGCAAGTAATAATAATATTGGTATTTACTATGGTAGCAGATTTTCATTTGAAATCTTGACTATTATAATAATATGTGATGGTTTAAAGTTATAGTTTCAATATTAATTATGAGATGAATGATTTTCTGTGCAAAGTGATTTGGAAATGCATTCATCTAAATTGACAATGGGTTATTTCAAAGTTTATTACTATTGTGGAAATATAATGTGTGCCCTGTGGTACAAACCTATTGTGAACAACTTATTGATATGCGCTGTTTTGGAATTAATTAGGCATCCTCCCATATATCAGAGCCTCAATTAGGAAAAAAAAACTGTGTGAATTTATGGATAATAATCCTTTCCTTTAAAGTACTAAGAGTATTAGGCCTTAGAAATTAAAATGTACTGTTGAGGTTTGGAGGTTGGGGATAGTGGGACCCACAATTGCAACTCGTGGGTCCTGCCCAGAAAAAAAAAAATTGACCCAGGCCTTCTTTCGGCCTATGACAGCTTGTTCCATGTAAGCCAGGCTCTTGAAGAGTCTGAATATTTGTGATGCTCATAAGGATGAGCGGGTATGGGGAAGTCTCGGCTATGAGGGGGATCTGGGAGTGGCCAAGTGTCTTGATGGGAGTGTCTGTGAGGTTGAATGGGGTCTAAATAAGATCAGGGATGGGAAGTATGGCCTGGGGAAACTGCTAGACCAGGTGGAGCAGTTCAGGAGAAAGGGTTTGTTTTGGGGGGCCAAGCTTGAGCCCATACCCCATCATTGCCATTAATGATTATGAATCCAAATCTGATTTAGTCAATCCAACTAAATTAAGGTCATCTGACAGTAATTAATTGGTTCTGTTTCAAGTTTTAAATATATGATAGGTGCTTATGGTATGGTTGTATTTCTGAATTTTCTTATATGGTGTAATCTGGTAAACAACTGTATCAGCTATGTTGTTAGAAAAGCAATTTCTCTTATAATCTAGAATGTTGACTAGATTAAGAATTATACTATCACAGAAAGAAAAAAAAAGGAATGGGTTGGGAAGCTGTTAGGTTATTCTATCTGACCCTGTGTTGCAATATTTTTTTAAAGTACTATAATTTGGGAAGCAAGAAGTTTTGTCTATATTTAAAGGGAAGTTTTAGCTGGGATTATTTGGTTCTCACTTATAAAATTTAAGATTGTTAACTAAGCTATTGGGAGTTATTGGTTTTGTTTGTTTTTTTAGTGAGGCAATTGGGGTTAAGTGACTTGCCCAGAGTCACAGGGCTAAGAAGTGTTATGTGCCTAAGGCTGTTTGAACTTAAGTCCTTCTGATTCCAGGGCCGGTGCTGTATCCTCTGTGCCACTTAGCTGCCTCCTGGAGTTCTTGTTTAAATTAAGCACTTATAAAAGTATTTGTGTGTGTGTGTGTGTGTGTGTGTGTGTGTGTGTGAAAGGAAACCTGGTAATTATGCAAAGAAGAGACTTTGTAAAATCTTGTAATCGTTATCAACCCTGTGCAGGAGTCTTGTGTTGTGGAATTCTTACTGAGTAAATGGCCCATTATAGACTAGAGAATTTTTGACTAGATAATTTAGGTTAACTAGCAATTTTGTGGTAATTAGGAAATTGTAAGCTGTTTTTAAGAAAGGAAAATACTTTTATGCAAAGAAAGTCTTTGGTGTGATTTTTTAAGAGGGCCTACTAAATTTGCAAGCTAGTTTTGTTGCAAATCATAATTGATATTGATGACAATTATGTCCAAACTTACTGTGAATTTTGAGTTTGTTTCCTAGGTTTGTTGTGTCCCTGGATGGGTCTTAATGGATGCTTTCTGAGAAACAAGAGTCAAAAGCAGCAACTCAATGGGAAAAGCATCAGAGATCAAAGGCTAGTGATTAATACTAAAGCAACTATTGTAATGAATTGTAAGGGGGGAGATCTTGCTTTTTTGATATGAATTCATTCCATGGCCTAGCAAGGGTTTAGAACTAATGTTTGAACTTCTCTGAACTGCCTCATTCTTTCAGATTAAGATTGGTTAGAGAAGCATAAATAAGCTTGAGAAAAAGAGAGGCAAATCTGTTAGAGTAGCAACTTATGGTCTTAATGGAAATTTGATTTTACTCAGGATGTTATCAGGAGCTAGAACATGTCTAGGAAGACATGTAAACTGCTTAGGGTTCACTTTGGAAATGTTCCCTAATTAATGTGATATTATACTCACACCTGAAACCCTGATGAAGGGAATTTGCTATCAAAGATCTTGGGGACTGTTAATGAATTCTGACTCTAACTCCAGGTATTGTCAACAAGGAACTGATTGAGCTACTAACCCATGATGCCAGAAACCCTGTGAGGGGTTTGTGAGCTGCATCTAGGAGCTGCAAGAGAGTGTTCTCATGAGAAGATTGGGAGAATGACTTTTCTGCATGACTGAGAGAGGATTCTCCTGACTCAATTTCCCCACTATGACACCTGGCAGACTTTAAGCCTGGCTCAATGCAGTTGGCTATTAAATACCTTCTGCCTGTAATTGACATGAAGGTAGGGAAGAATTGTTCCTTTACTTTAGTTATGTCCCTATTCTTTCATGGCAAATGTTTAAATTCATAAGTTTTGTAAGCATAATATCAAATCTATTAAATAATAGACTGATGCAGGAACATCTGAGGTTATTATAGTAAGATGCAAGTATAAGATTTAGTTATTTGGCCTAGAATTTTAGAATTAAGTATTCAGTCTTGACATCTATTACTAGTACATTCCTGTATAAGTCAGGGAGAGTCCTTTAATTTCTTACAATGGTATGGGGATAGTTAGGAAGCCAGCTTGTGGAACGAAGATATTATTCTGTTACTTAGTTAATACTTAGTTAATATTAAAGTTGTCTCAGTTTGTTACAATTAATGTTAAAAGAAGAGTGGCTTGTGGCCTAGCTTGTAAACGCCTTAAAAGAAGCATCTATTTTAATTATGGATTATTTATTTGTACATGACCAGAAGTTGGAATTGTTTTATTACTTGTACAGTTTTATTACTTGTGCAGTTTTAAAACTGATTACTATGTATTGGAGTCTGTTATTAATTCCTTAATAGAATCTCCTCCTCCTGATGGGGGAATATGAATAAGAATGAATAATGAATTAATGCAAGGTATAAAACTAGAACTAATGCAGAGTGTAAGGCTAGGTTCTAATTTTTCTGTTACTTTTCTAATTTGAGTTTCTTAACCATGACAACTCGCCAAAGTTCCAATTTTTGATCCTATAATAATGAAGACATAAGGGTTGAGTTAACTTTCATTATTTGCCCTGGTTATTGGCAAGGTAATTTAAAAATTGTGTTAAGATCAATCTTATAGGAGAACAGACCAAGAAAGAGAATCTCTACAAGAAGACAGTCTGCTGGACACTGCTTGAACAGCACCAAGACCAGAAAACTTCCCTGCATGATGTCCAGAATGCCAGACAACTGTATGAACAGAGACTTCTGCAGCCTTAAATGGACAATTTATCATTACTTTGGGGTCTCTGTATCTGTATTTACTAAGGGGACAGCCCCCTTTTTGATTTGTCAATGCATTGATCAATTTCTCCCTTCCTTCTCCCATATTGTTATAAGTTCCCAAAATCCCTTGATGAAATGTTGACCAATAGCACAGCCCCAGATGGAACCATTACTAAGGCATCGCAAAGTCCAACCACTTTAGCTGAGGAGCTGGCAGAGAACTCTGGCATAGATAATTAATTAAAGGAATAGTTAGAATTATGGGTTGGCAAATGGAAGGTAAAGGCAGAAGACAGCTGGGGTATTGACAGTTGTAGGCTATTGCATAATATCTTGTGAAGAGACTGAGGTGAACCCTAATTATGGTCAAAACTAGAATACATAATGAATTAAAAGATGCAGATGTAACAGAGTAAAATAAAAGAAAAAGGGGGATTGTAGGATATATGGATGTTGCTTCTGCATCAGAGGGTGGAGTCAAAGAAATAGTTTTTTTATTATTATTATTTCCACAAAAAGCCAAATAGAAACCTTAAGGAACGCAGTCTGGGGGCTAGGTGGAAGTTGAACAAAAGGGAATTATAAAAAACACTCTTGGTGGTGAAAAGACTAACCTGCTGAAAACCAGTTCTGAGGTTAACATAAAAAGGGGTGTTCCCAAATAAGGGCCCAATGGCAGAATTGTGGGGAATGGGAGATGTAATTAGGGTGGAGGCTCACGAGGGAGAGGAGTAATAGGTGCTTGGATAGGCTATAACCTCTATAATACCCAATGGATGCTGAAACAAGGGAAGGAATTTCGAATGGGGAATAGGGAATAAAAAGATGTGCATTTGTCGATACATGTGCTCTCACACATACAGGATGCCCAGCCTTCTTCCTAATTCAACAATGGCTTCATGGAATTCATGATATTGATATAGATAACAGGAACCAGCAAAGACTTCAGGAAAAAGTAGTCAAGCCACTTCATTTCCATTCCCTCATCTGCAAAAACTTGGAACCTTAGGAATTATCCAAGACAATACTTCACTTTATAGAGATGAGGAAAGTGAGCACAGCTCTTCCAGCCCAAGGAGAAGGTGGATCCGGGTTTCAGACCTGGGTAAGCGTACACAGCAGTGTTTCTAATAATAATGTTTTAGCCTGGAGAATACCCTAGAGAAACCCTTCTCGTGCCCCCCAGCCTCCATTCTACAACCCAATGCCACATTGCCTCCATCGCTATTTTGCCAATAGGGAACCTGGCTGCCCAAAGGAAGATCCTGGCACATGTGGCTGGGCATTAGCCTCTTCTTGCAGCTGTGTTCCCACATGCTGTCACTTAACTTGGATTCTCTCTCCAGCCAGCCAGCGCCTTTGCCTCAGCGAGCCAGATAGGACAGCCCTTGCACAAGCAGGGCTCCCAGCCATTCCAGGAGGGACTCAGCTGACTGACTGCCCAGGCCAGGCCCCACTTCTACTGTCTACTCCCTCTACCAGTTCAATCTCCTCCTTCACTCTTCTAACACACCCTAAGTCTCAGGTGACCAGAGCTCGGACCTGCAAATCCCCACCCACAGCCTCCAGCCTACCAGCCCCTTAGCCTAAGGAGGAGCCAGAGTGAGACTCAATCCCACAGAGGCTACTACAGAGGCACAGAAGACCCAAATGGGCTTGACTTGGCCACATCCTGGCTGCTCCATAAGAATAGGACAGGAATAGGAGACTACGAGTTCTCCTGACTCAGCTGAGGTCAATGACTCACTGACACCCAACCAACCAATCTTTTTCCTTTCCCTAGCACCCTGTGCCTCATAGCATCACACCTGGAGGAGGACTCTTGTACTTCTTCCCCAGGAGAAGAGCTTGCTAACCCTATTTAATCCCCTCTAAGCCTGTCACCCCAGAGGCAAGATTCCCCAAACCTAGCATTTTACACTGCTTTCCATCATTCTCCTAGCTTTTCTTTGTAGCTCTAGAGCCACATGTGGATGCAGATCCCATCTCTAACACTTAAATCCAGCCTCAGACACTTATTAGATCCAATGCTAATGTCAGAAGGCAGGGCAGCCTGGTTATTTCAAGGCATAATAGTGATTGAGATTCTACTCTGTTACAAATATATCTTTATATATACATATACATATATGTGTGTATGTGTGTGTGTATACATACATACATATACGCACATGTGTATGTATGTATATAAATATGTATGTGTATATATGCACATACATAAATACATATACATATATACATGTGTGTACACACAAAACACACACACACGAAATGACCATGATTTTCTGAACTGCAAAGCAGGACTCAGACTAAGGCTACTCCCTTTTGTAAAACTTCATAAATAATAATGACTCAAATTCTATATAGCCTACCAAGGTTTAGCAAGCACTTTACTCCCCAAAGCCATCCCATAATGAGGTTCAGAGATGCTCCGGTACTACTTATCCAAGCTCTCACACGTAATAAGTGGCAAAGAATTATTGCTGCAAGCCAGGTCTCCTAGCCTTGCATTTGCACTGCTTTTCATTACATACCTATAGATAGCTAGATACTGCCATAATAAACAGAGTGCTGGACCTGGAATCAGGAAGATTTCAAATCTAGTCGTAGACACTTACCATAGCTGTGTGACCCCAGGTAAGTCACTTAACCTCTGACTACCTCAATTTCCTCAGTACCTACCTTCCAGGGTTGTTATAAGGATAAAATCAGATCATATTTGCAAAGCACTATATAAATGCCAACTATTTATTAAATACACACTTTATTTTCTCAAAATGTGAATTGCCCTGGAACAGACATTACTGTGCAGGACATATATCACTATATATTAGGACAATATGTGTGTGTGTGTGTGTGTGTGTGTGTGTGTGTGTGTGTGTTACGGCAGCTGGGTGGTGCAGTGGATATAGTGCTAGGCCTGTAGAAAGAAAGACCTCAGTTCAAATCTGGCCCCAGACACTTACTAGCTGTGTGTCCCTGGAAAAGTCACTTCACCCTGTTTGCTTCAGTTTCCTCATCTGTAAAATGAGCTAGAGAAGGCAATGAGAAACTACTTCAGTACCTTTGTGAAGGAAAACCCCAAATGGGGTCATGAAGAGTTGGACACAACTGAAAATGACTAAACAACAACAAAACAACACATATAACTATGGGGTGGGGAGGGAGGAAAGACTCTTCTTTGAACTGTGATAAAAAGTGTTTAATAACCAAGTGCTGTCCCTTCCCCTCTCAAGGTCTGTTTCCTCATTTGGGAAAGGAAGAGATCACAGTAAATGACTGTGAAGGTCTGTTCCAGCTCTAACTCCTATTATCAAGAGCCACACCAATGAGGAAACTGAAGCTCAAAGTCACAGTTCACAAGTGGGAGACAAATGGCTGAGGTTTCCAGTCTCAATCCAAGTGACCACTCCTTTCCCCACCCCATTTCCTCAACTGCATGCTCTCCTGCTTAAGACATTTCAACAGCTTTGAACTGAAGGTATAATAAAAAACAATAATAACTTACGTACTTATATGGCTTTATTATTTTCAAAGCGCTTTCTTACAGATGATCTAATTTGAGCCTCACAATGAGCTTGTGAGGTAGGCAGGGCAGATATTATTCTAATTTGACAAATTAGGAAATGGAGGTTCAGAAGTGAAATAACTTGCCCAAGGTTACACAGCAGAATGAGATAGTTGAAGTCCCTTGGCTTTTTTCCAGGGCATCCTGACATATAGAAAGGGTAGGATGGGGAAAAGACTGGATTTGGAATTGGAGGAGCTGAATGAAAATCTTTCCTTTGTGACAATTCTCTGGACCTCAGATTCTTCCTATAAAATGGACTGATTGACCTGGCCTGTCCACTGGTCAACTCTAGTCCTTTTGTCTAAGATCCTTCTTTAGCCATGGAAAGGTATCCTATATTTGCAGGCATCAGTTTTCCCAGCTATGATATGGGGGAGAAACCTTCATAGCATGCTGAATTTACAGTAAAAGGACCTGGACTCGAATCCCTGGCTCAGCAACTGAGGTAGGATTTGAACTCAGACCTTCTGCTACTTACTATCTACCTGTATGAACCCTGGGCTAATCATTTCATTTCTCTAGGCCTCAGTTTTCTCTTTTGTAAAAATCAGGAGGCTGGCCTAGTACTAGGTAATCTCTAAAGTTAATTCCAGCTTTAACTTTCTGATTACAATCATTTCTCTTTCCTCCATAAGGATGTATTAATAACAATAATTTTAGTTTTTGCTGTTGTTGTTCAGTTGTTTTTAGTCACGTTCAACTCTTCATGACCATATTTTGGGGCAGAGATACTAGAGTTGTTTCTCATTTCCTTCTTCAACTCATTTGACAGATGAGGAAACTGAGACAAATAGAGTTAAGTGACTTGCCTGGGGTCATATAGCTGGTAGATGTCTGAGGCTGGATTTGAACTTAGGATGAAGAGTCTTCCTGTCTCTAGGCCCGATGCTGTATCCCCTGTACTGCCACTAATAGTTCAAACTATTTAATACTTTAAGGTTTACAAAGCACTTTGCATATGCAAACTCATTTTATCCTGGGAGGTAGGTACTAGTATTATCCTCATTTTATAGTTGAGGAAACTGAGACTTAACCAGGTTAAAAGACTTACCCAAGGTTACCCAGCTAGGAAGTATAAGAAGCAGGCTTTGAACTCAGACCTTCCTCACAATACAAGTCCTACACTTTATCCATTTCAACCTAACTGTTTAAGAGTCTTGAAGACAAATAAAATGGAAATGGGAAAATGTCATGTAAATACCGGCTGAGCCCATAGACACTAACACTCTAGAGAATGAGTCTAGGTTTGCAGGGGTAAAGAGTCCATTTAACTAGGATTTTTTTTTAACCTCCATTGAGCTCTTCACAAAGGCTTTTCACAGATGTTATCTTATGTGTGATCTTCACTTCAACTTTTGGAGGGAGATATTATTATCCCCATTTTACACTTGAGGCTCAAAGAGTTTAAATGATTCACTCAAAGTCTGCTACATAATACAGGTTAAGCATGAACTAGAACCGGGTCTTTGAGCCTTAATCTAGTGTTTCTTCTATCTGCATCAATCAATCAACCAATCAACAAGCATTTATTAAGTACTTACTATGTGCCAGGAAATCCCAAGTACTAGGGGACCCAAATAGATGCAAAAACAGTCTCTGCCCAGAAGGTGCTTACCTTCTAATGGAGAGAGGACATGTAAATAATTCAGCACATACATGATACATACAGAGCTGGCAGAAGTTTGTCTCTAAGGGGAAGGCACTGGAAGCTGGGGGAAATGCTTAAGACCTCCTGCGGAAGGTTGTCTTGGAGCTGAGTCTTGAAACACGCAAGAGAGTCTAAAGAGGTGGAAGTGAGGATGAATGTTTAAAAAATGGAAATGCTTGGGTTCATTACCAGTAATGAACATTTTACACTACAAAGGAAAATTTTAAAGTATTTGCCTCAAATCACCGCCTTTGTCTTCTGAAGATCCCCAAGGAAAATGGCAGTAGAGGATGTGGAAAGAATACTGAGCTTAAAGCCTTGGTCTTGATTCTAATAGTAGCACATGGTCTTGATTCCAATACCAGCAATGTCACTTTTTAAGTGTAATATTAGGCAAATAACTTCAGTTCTCTAGGCCTTTCCTAACTAGAGAATGGGAATTATACTTCTTACCCTGTAATCTCCTTACAAAGTTGCTGACAGGAAATCATTTTGTAAGAAACATAACATAAGCTATAATTTATTAACTGCAAAATGAGATCATAAACATGATTACTGAATAACATAAAGAACATAAGCTCCCAATGGGCTTTTTGGACTATTTGTTATTTAAAAAATAGTTGATGGATATGAACAGGCAGTTCTCAGATGAAGAAATTAAAACTATCTACAGTCATATGAAAAAATGCTCTAAATCACTATTGATTAGAGAAGTGCAAATCAAAACAACTCTTAGGTACCACATCATACCTATCAGATTGGCCAAGATGACAAAACAAGGAGATGATAAATGTTGGAGAAGATGTGGGAAAATTGGAACACTAATGCATCGTTGGTGTACTTGTGAAATGATCCAACCATTCTGGAGAGCAATTTGGAACTATGACCAAAGGGCTATAAAATTGTGCATACCCTTTGACCCAGCAATAGCGCTTCTAGGGCTATGTCCCAAAGAGATCATACAAATGGGGAAAAGACTCACATGTACAAAAATATTTATAGCAGCTCTTTTTGTGGTGGCAAAGAATTGGAAACTGAGGATGCCCATCAACTGGGAAATGGCTGAAGAAGTTTTAATATATGAATGTAATCGAATACTATTGAGCTATAAGAAATGATGAACAGGCTGATTTCAGAAAGATCTGGAAAGATTTGTATGCTGAGTGAAATGCTGAGTGAAATGAGCAGAACCAAAAGAAAGTTATACACAGTAACAGCCATGTTGTGCGAGGACTAATATTGATAAACTTAACTCTTTCCAGCAATACAAGGATCTAAGACATCTCCAAAGGCCCTGTGATGGAAAATGCTATCCACATCCAAAGAAGGAACAATGGAATTTGAATGCAGATTGAAGTACAGTATGCTATTTTTTTCCTCTTCTGTTGAGTTTTGTTTCCTCTTTCTGTTGGTTCCTCCTACTGGTTCTAATTCTTACTTATAACATCACTAATGTGAAAATATGTTTAACAGGAATGTATATGTATAGCTTATATAAGATTGTGTGCCATCTTCGGGAGGGTGGTATGGAGGAAGGGGGAGAAAAATTTTAAACTCAAAAGCATATTGAAGTGATTGTTGATAAGTCAAAATAAATTAATTAAAAAAAATGACTTGGGTCTCTGCTCAGAGTCTAGATTCCAGTTGAAGCTGTGTTCCTGTCTGAGAGGCCTCCTAACACGATGTCTAGGGTACATTCATGGAATAGAAATCACTGGGCCAGGACTAGCAAATCACTTTGGAGACTGGTTCAGGAAGAACCCAAATCTAGTTCATCTCAGTGGATACTCAAGGCCTGAAATGGATAATATAACAGTAGAAAGAATACAAGGAATGTTAATAACTTGTGAAAGAATCCCATTCTCTTAAACCTCTGTTGGGCCATAGCAATGCTGAGTTACAATTCCACTTTTCTAATTCAACTAAAGAGATATCTTTTAGTTATTCCATCTCATTCATTAAGCTTCACAATCTCTACATATTAAAATAGAGAAAATACAAGGAAGGTCAAGGACTTCTGAGAAAATCCCATCCTGTTAATCATATGTTGCGCCACAGCAATGTTGAGTTACAATTCCACATTTCTAATTCAAGAAAAGAGATATCTTTTAGTTATTCTGTTTCATGCATTAAGCTTCACAGTCTCTATGCATTACAGTAGAAAGAATACACGGAATGTTAACAACTTCTGAGGAAATCCCACCCTTTTAATCCTATGTTGGGCCAAAGCAATGTTGAGTTACAATTGCACTTTTCTAATTCAACTAAAGAGATATCTTTCAGTTATTCTATCTCATGCATTAAGTTTCACTGTCTCTTCACATTACAATAAAAAGAATAGAAGGAATGTTAACAACTTCTGAGAAAATCCCATCCTTTTAAACCTCCTTTAGGCCATAGAAATGTTGAGTTACAATGCCACTTTTCTAATTCAATTAAAGAGATATCTTTTAGTTATTCTATCTCATACATTAAGCTTCACTGTCTCTTCACATTACAATAAAAAGAATAGAAGGAATGTTAACAACTTCTGAGAAAATCCCACCCTTTTAACCTCCTTTAGGCCAAGAAATGTTGAGTTACAATTTCACTTTTCTAATTCAATTAAAGAGATATCTTTTAGTTATTCTATCTCATACATTAAGCTTCACAGTCACTACATATTACTATAGAAAGAGTACAAGAAATGTTATCAACTTCTGAGGAAATCCCATCCTTTTAATCCTACTTTGGGCCAAAGCAATGTTGAGTTACAGTTTCATTTTTCTAATTCAACTAAAGAGATATCTATTAGTTATTCTATCTCATGCATTAAGTTTCACAGTCTCCACATGTTAAAAGAGAGAGAATACAAGGAATGTTAACAACTTCTGTGAAAATCCCATCCTTTTAAACCTATGTTGGGCTACAGCAACGTTGAGTTACATTTTCCACTTTTCTAATTGAATTATAGAGATGACTTTTAGTTATTCTCTCCCATGCATTAAGTTTCACTGTCTCTACATATTATAATAGAAAGATAACAAGGAATGTTAACAGCTTCTAATGAAATCCCATCCTTTTAATCCTATGTTGGGCCACAGCAATGTTGAGTTACAATTTTACTTTTCTAATTCGACCAAAGAGATATCTTTTAGTTTTTCCATCTCGTGCATTAAACTTCACAGTCTCAACATATTACAAGAGAAAGAATACAAGGAATATTAACAACTTCTGAGAATTTCCCATCTTTTTAGTCCTCCTTTGGGCCATAGAAATGTTGAGCTACAATTTAACTTACCTAATTTAGCTAAAGAGATATCCTTTATTTATTCTATCTCATGCATTAAGTTTCACTGTCTCTACATACTGCAATAGAAAGAGAAGAAGGAATGTTAAGAACTTGTGACAAAATCCCATCCTGTTAATCCTATGTTGGGCCACAGCAATGTTGAGTTACAATTTCACTTTTCTCCTTCAACTAAAGAGATATCTTTTAGTTATTCTGTCTCATGCATTAAGCTTCACAGTCTCTACATAGTGAAAGAGAGAGAATACAAGGAATGTCAAGAACTTCTGAGAAAATCCCATCCTTTTAATCGTATGTTGGGCCACAGCAATGTTGAGTTACAATTCTACTTTTCCAATTCAATGAAGGAGATATCTTTTAGTTATTTTATCTCATGCATTAAACTTTACAGTCTCTACATATTACTATAAAAAGAATACAAGAAATGTTACCAACTTCTGAAGAAATCCCATCCTTTTAATCCTATGTTGGGCCAAATCAATGTTTAGTTACCATTTCACTTTTCTAATTCAACTAAAGACATATCTTTTAGTTATTCTACCTCATGCATTAAGTTTCATTGTCCTTACATATTACAATAGAAAGATGAGAAGGAATGCTAACATCTTCTAACAAAATCCCAACCTTTTAATCCTATGTTGGGCCATAGCAATGTCGACTTACAACTGCACTTTTCTTAATCAACTACAGAGATACCTTTTAGGTATTCCATCTCATGCATTATGCGTCAATGTTTCTACATATTACAATAGAAAGAATACAAGGAAAGTTAACAACTTCTGAGAAAATCACATCCTTTTTATCCTATGCTGTTCCATAGCAATGTTGAGTTACAATTCCATTTTTCTAAATTAACTAAAGAGATATCTTTCACTTATTCAATCTCATGCATTAAGCTTCACAGTCCAATGGAAAGAATACAAGGAATGTGAACAACTTCTGAGAAAATCCCATGCTTTCAATCCTATGTTGGGCCATAGCAATGTTGAGTTACAATTCCAATTTGTAATTCAACTGAAGAGATATCTTTTAGTTATTCTATCTAATGCATTAAGCTTCACTGTCTCTACATATTACAAGAAAAATAGAAAGTGGAATTGTAACTCAACATTGCTATGGCCCAACCTAGGATTAAAAGGATGGGATTTTCATATTAGTTGTTAACATTCCTTGTATTCCTTCTCTTCTAATATGTATAGACTGTGAAGCTTACCGCATAGGACAGAGCAACTAAAAGGTACCTCTTTAGTTGAATTAGAAAAGCAGAAAAGAGCATTAGAAAGATGGCATTTTCTCAGATGTAGTTAACATTCCTTGTATTCTTTCTATTATAATATTTGGAGACTGTGAAACTTAGTGCATGAGATAGAATAACTAAAAGGTATCTCTTTAATTGAGTTAGAAAAGTGGAACTGTAACTTAACATTGCTAGGGCCCAACATAGGATTAAAAGGATGGTATTTTTTCAGAAGTTGTTAACATTCCTTGTATTCTTTCTACAGTAATATGTGGAGACTGGGAAGCTTAATGCATGAGATAGAATAAATAAAACATATCTCTTTAGTTGAATTAGAAAGGTGCAATTGTAACTCAACATTACTATGGCACAAAAGAGGATTAAAAAGATGGGATTTCCTCAGAAGTTGTTAACATTCCTTGTATTCTTTCTGTTCTAATATGTAGAGACTGTGAAGCTACAACTAAAATATATCTGTCTAGTTGAGTTAGAAAGTAGAATTGTAACTCAACATTCCTGTAGCACAACATAGGATTAAAAGCCTGGGATTTTCTCAGAAGTCATTAACATTTCTTGTTATCTTTCTATTGTAATATGTAGAGACAGTGAATCTTAATGCATGAAATAGAACAACTAAAAGATATCTCTTTAATTGAATTAGAAAACTGCATTTGCAACTCAACATTGCTATGGCCCAAAAGAGCATGAAAAGGATGTATTTTCTCAGCAGTACTTAACATTCCCTGTATTCTTTTTATTGAAATATGTAAAGACAGTGAAACTTAATGCATGAGATAGAATAACTGAAATATATCTCTTTAGTTGAACTAGAAAAATGGAAATGTAACTCAACATTGCTATGGCTCAACATAGGATTAAAAGGATGGGATTTTCTCAGAAATTGGTAACATTACTTGTGTTCTTTCTATTGTAATAGATGGAGACAGTGAAGCTTAATGCATGAGACAATATCTAAAAGATATCTCTTTAGTTGAATCAAATAGTGGAATTGTAACTCAATATTACTATGTCCCAACACAGGATGAAAAGGATGGGATTTTCTCAGAAGTAGTTAACATTCCTTTTATTCTTTCTATGGCAATATGGAGAGACTGTGAATCTTAATGCCTGAGGGAGAATAACTACAAGATACCTGTTTAGTTGAATTACAAAAGTGGAATTGTAACTGAACATTGCAAGGGCCAGACATAGGATAAAAAGGATGGGATTTTCTAAGAGGTTGTTGACATTCCTTCTGTTCTTTCTACTGTAATATGTAGAGACAGTGAAGCTTAATGCATGAGATAGAATAACTAAAAGATATTTCTTTAGTTGAATTAGAAAAGTGCAATTGTACCTCAACGCTGCTATGGACCAACGTAGGATTAAAAGGATGGGATTTTCTTAGAAGTTATTAACATTCCTTGTACTCTTTCTATTATAATATGTAGAGACAGTGAAACTGTTTTTTTTCTCTAAGAATAATTAGTCACTTCCCAACATAAATATAAAATATTTCTTTAATTACAACCCCTCTATTTGTAA